TTGGGACTAACCTATTAACCTAGAGCCCAGTGCCAGTTTCTGTTTTTTTCCTTGTTTTTGAGTATCGCAGAAAAGGAAAACCAAACGGAGTCCAATTGACCTGAAACTTCACGGAGATTATTTTTGGACCAGAAGAAGCCCACGGAGTACCGGAGATGGGCCAGAAGAGTCCCGTGTTACCACACTACCAGGTATTCCTCCTTCCCGGAGGAAAGCTCCAACCAAACATCCAAGAAAACACCCAACAACTATGCGAGCAATTGATGCATCTCCATGTGCCAGGGGCGCAAGGGCCGATTCTTAAGGTCATCCCTATACTAGTGCTCTCTTCACGCACGAGTCAATGGGTGACCCGGGAGCTTCTGCCAGGCCATTGCACCCCTGGGGACCTTCACGACCCGCTGACCGCGCGACATCCCATTGATCTGGGAATATGGAAGTCGGCTGAGTACTGGAATGGGTCGCTCTATGTACATTGCTGGAACAACAGCATTATGATCTTGTGCAACTCGGAGAGGGCATATGACATGGTCCCGCTACCGGGGAAAGCCTACGAAGATAAAGAATATGTAAGGTTAATGAAGCCGCTAAGGAGGTCTGTCTTGGCGAGCTATGAGAAAGGGGTTCACTATGTGACACTCAAAAACTACCAACTGCATATATGGATGTTGACAGAATCAGTTGATGGCCAGGTGGGGTGGATGCTAACACACAAGGCTGACCTTGGTCCTTATGGTCGCAAAATAGATGCTTACTTTTACACGGAGCCGAGACTGCAGTGGGAGGCGGTCGACAGCAATAACGCTCTATTTAGCTCGTTCAATGCTCGTAACATTGAGGAGGATCGCCAGAACAACACAAGTGATGACGTCGATGGCGACAAAGACGACAATGACAATGGCGTCTATGATGCGGATAATTTCAACGAAACAACTGATGGCGTTGATGGCAACAGTGACGATGATGAAGAAGGCGTCCATGAGGCACATGGGTTTAGAGAGACAGCTGATGATGTTGATGGCGAAGACGATGACGAAGATGGCGTCTATCATGCTGATGACTTAAGCGAGACAACTGCTATGTCGATGATGGTGCTCAAGATGAAGGAGATGCTAACGAAGCTGATGATTTCCAATTCAAAAGCGAAGAGCGTTCCTATTACTCCTGGGACTCAGATGAGGACAACTTCATTGACATGGATGAAAGTGCTGCCCAACCCGAGAACTATGGGAATTACCTTCTCATAGGATTACATCCGCACAAGGACGTGGTGCTTTTCCTAACCCCTCGCAATGCCGTTGCAGCATACCATGTCATGACTTCGAGAATACAATATTTAGGAAAGCGGCTTCGAGATCCTCACTCATTTTATGTTGCCGATGTTGCATTTCCTTATCGTCCATGCTTCGTCGATGCCCTTTCAACACCTCAGCCACTCTCCTATTGTGGTCGGTGATCCGTCTTATTCCGTGATGTGTAACTTTTTGGAAGAAAGGTAGATCGTAGGTAAATAATTATGCATCTTTTACCAGTCTACCCGCAGCTTGTTAATTTATCAGTTGGGTGCAGCTAAAAACATATGGATGCATGGTTGTGAGAGGATCTAAGATTTAATTTTATAGCTTTTAGTTGAAATTGATTTATAAAGTTGTGGCTAATAAATGTGTACTCGGTATGGCTATATAGTACTAAGAGTTTTGCTCGAATTAATTCATCCTGGTTGCAATAGATAATCAAGGACAATGGTATCGCCATGTCATGAGGATTTAAGTCCTAAACTTTGATACTCGCATTTTCGGCAATGTGAGTTCAGTGGGAGGAGAGTTGTTTTCGTTGACTCCGAATAGAGTGTAGTTTCAGACTCAAGAGAGTTTAGCTTACCTGAGGATGGACTGTACATCATTTTGCTCTATGTCTAATAACTATACGAACAAACTCATATACAGTAATAAGTTAAGCGTAATTTGTGCATGTCTTTGCAGCCATGAAAGAGAAGGTTTCGAATTGGCAAGGATTAGGGAGCAAAGAGAAAACTGGAGGCAACCTACTCGTGCAGCAGTCATGCTCCATCATCATTTTTCAGGACAAAGACCCCCAAGCACACTGCTGGAACAACGCAACTGACACCGAGGAAACAATTGGACAAGATGCATGCAATGCTTGCCAATGAGTAGACTTCCCAGTAGGATTTTTGAGATATTTGAAAGGTGGAGTAGACTTCATGACAAATGTTGTACCAAACTGTAGCTGATTGCTCTCCCCAACAATATCCAATTATAACATAAAGTTGTACACTGTATCTTTTCATCTGAAATACATATGAATGATTTGAATCTTCAAATTGATGGGTGTGTCATTAGAGAATATTTTATTTTTTCGTGGTGTCATTTAGTAGGCCTAAATTTAGTTCAAGGCAGACAACACTATATGTCGGAAATTCATGTATTGCAAATCTAGACTGGAATCCATGCTCCTGTGTTTTCTACCTTGTAAACCACAATCATAAAAAGCATGAATTCAACTGGGGCAAGTATAATCAATGCAATCTCGCAGAAATCCAAAAATAACGAAATTTGGCCGTAACAATTATCCTCTGCTCAAAACATTGTAAAAGAACACAAAATGTAGTGTAGTATAGTGCGTCCATCATAATTCATAGATACACCAAATGACATAAAAAATCGTACTCCTTATAGGATTCGTGAATACTATTCGTCAAAAGGTAACTTTCTAGCAGCCGTGGACACTTCAATGCAACTGATGTAGCCTTCCTTGAGACACGTGCAGCATGCGTTTTCAAACTTTCCTCCTCGGTTCCTTGTTTTTCAACATAAAATCCTCTTTTTGCATATTTTGTCCACCTTCTTAGTATATATTGTGGTGGCAAAATGAAAACATCATTCATATTGAATACTTTGAATGCATGCTTGCACAATATACCTGCAAGATATGGGTGTCAGTTTTCATCAAGTTGTATTACAAACTAGATTGTATCTTAAATTGTGTATATATATACCTATGGACTCAAACTTTCTGCAACAACATTTGACAGTCCTGTGTCCGCTGTATTGAATATAACTTTTGCTCCATGCTCACTGTGCATATGTGTAACCATATATGTCAAGACTGGACCCTCTGCTTGTAATAGTTTACAAGAGAATGAAAATTGGCTTTTGAATTCTTCTTCAAACTCTGAGTACATCCGCCTTGTATATGTTTCAGATGCGGTCTTCAGCAAAGGAAAATTTGGACTATAAGCAACAGGGTTCTTTCGACGCGAACTAAAATCTGCGTCCAACTCATTTTCACGCAGACTGGCAGAAACCTTCTCGCATTCTTCAAGGAGTTCTGAAAGACCAAGTCTCCTGCAAAATCTTTGCTTGAAGACATTATTCATACCTTCACTCCTTTGAGTGGAGTTCATATCAGTTGTAAAAGAGTCACGGTAGACAGCAGCCCACTTTTCCCTCAACTCATACAACATTTGCATCCATTCATTGTCCTGAAGGTTGTACCGATCCAACAATTCATGCCATTTCTTATTGAAGTAAAATTCTGATCTGTCTTCATAGACACATCGCTTAAAATCAGGCAAAAACTTCTCAGGATGGTCATGAATTACATGAGCGAGATGTTTTGCAGCATTAAGATAAATATGCCACAAACAAAGTCGATGACTTGTATTTCGAAACACATATGCAATTGCTCCCTCCATGGCCTTGTCCTGATTAGTGAAAATAGTGCTTGGCTGCTTGCCTGACATTGCCGTTAAAAATGTTTCAAAGAGCCAAACAAATGAATCAATACTCTCATTAAATATTAGTGCGGCCCCATGACTCAAGCGAGACAACTGATGATGTTGACGATGGTGCTCAAGATGAAGAAGGAGACGCTCACGAAGCTGATCATTGCCAATTCAAAAGCAAAGAGGGTTCCCATTACCCCTGGGACTCGGATGAGGAAAACTTCATTGACATGGATGAAAGTGCTGCCCAACCCGAGAACTATGGGAATTACCTTCTCATAGGATTACATCCGCAAAAGGACGTGGTGCTTTTCCTAACCCCTCGCAATGCCGTTGCAGCATACCATGTCATGACTTCGAGAATACAATATTTAGGAAAGCGGCTTCGAGATCCTCACTCATTTTATGTTGCCGATGTTGCATTTCCTTATCGTCCATGCTTCGTCGATGCCCTTTCAGCACCTCAGCCACTCTCCTATTGTGGTCGGTGATCCGTCTTATTCCGTGGTGTGTAACTTTTTGGAAGAAAGGTAGATCGTAGGTAAATAATTATGCATCTTTTACCAGTCTACTCGCAGGTTGTTAATTTATCAGTTGAGTGCAGCTAAAAACATATGGATGCATGGTTGTGAGAGGATCTAAGATTTAATTTTATAGCTTTTAGTTGAAATTGATTTATAAAGTTGTGGCTAATAAATGTGTACTCGGTATGGCTAGATAGTACTAAGAGTTTTGCTTGAATTAATTCATCCTGGTTGCAATAGATAATCAAGGACAGTGGTATCTACATGTCATCAGGATTTAAGTCCTAAACTTTGATACTCGCATTTTTGGCGATGTGAGTTCACTGGGAGGAGAGTTGTTTTCGTTGCGACTTCGTCAATCTAAAATGATGTGCCAGCTAGTCTCTTGGAGATGCTTATAAGGGTAGGATATGCATACGTACGTTTATAAAGATGAGTGTATGTGCATATGTATAAACGTTTGCATATGTATTATATTTTTACAAAGAAAAACATACGCTGAAACCAAAGCAAAATCAAACACCACATGGAAAGACAAAAGCGTGCGTTGCGTGTTGGACATGGATCCCGAACGAACTCATAAACGCACACGTACCGGATAGATCGATATTAGGCACATATCAACGTAGGCCAAACTACGGACGGAGACGGACTCCTACGTTTCCCTCTATCGATCCCAAGATCTGCGCCTTCTACTTGCTGATCGATCTACACGCCTGCCAGCCGGCCACATGGAAGGGACCCATGGCGACGGCAATGGTGTGTGCTTCCCCTACGACGTGTTACTCGACATCCTCCGCCGCCTCCCCTGCCACGCCATCGCCAAGTCCCGGCATGTCTGCCGTGCGTGGCGCACCCTCGTCGACGCCCACAACTTCCTCCTCCTCCCGACGGTGTTCTTCGACGTGACCATCGGCGGCGCTCCCGCAGGCCGCATCGTGATGAGGCTGTTCGCCAAGGACGTGCCCAAGACGGCGGAGAACTTCCGCGCGCTCTGCACCGGTGAGAAGGGCGTCGGCAGGAGCGGCAAGCCGCTGCACTACAAGGGCAGCGCGTTCCACCGCGTGATCCCCGGCTTCATGTGCCAGGGCAGCGGCATCACCAGGGGCAACGGCCTCGGCGGCGAGTCCATCTATGGGGGCGACTTCCCCGACGAGAAGTTTGTCTACAAACACATGCCCGGGATGATCTCTATGGCCAACGCCGGGCCCAACACCAACAGCTCCCACTTCTTCATCTCCACCGTGCCCTGCCCGTGGCTCGACGGCAAGCACGTCGTCTACGGCGAGGTCATCGTGGGCATGGCCGTCGTCCGAAACATCGAGAAGGTGGGCTCCCGCAGCGGCACGTGCTCCAAGCCCGTCGTCATCGCCGACTCCGGCCAGCTCTAGGCCTGCGCCCTCCCCTAGCCAGTCATCGTCCTCCCATGTCACGTCGTTGATCTAAAATTAGTTGGCGTGAGCTGTGTCGTGTCTTCCCTTTGTCCGTCCGATGAGATGTCCGTCGTTAGTTTAGGAGGGTTTTAGGAGAACTCTTTAGGCTGCTGGATCTGTGTTCGACGGCCATGGTTATCTTCAAAGCCACAGAGTTTCATAATTCTTTTTTATTTCGGTTGCTATTTTGTTTTACCACCACCAAGCCTTCTCAGGTATATGTGTCAATTTGTGGTGTTGGGCGAAAAATATGTTTTCTGTTCCTAGTGCCTTGCACAAAAACTCACGCGTTGCGTTTGACGATGAGATATATATGGGATCTCCACGGAGATGATTTTTTTTGCCAATTCCAGCCCGTTGTGGTTGTTAATTGTTCTTGACATCATAAGCTGTGCGATGCGCTCACAATTCCTGTTTATTTTTTGGAGCATGACTTTTGAGAAACGATGTGATTTTTTGAAGAGGAAGGAAGACCATTCTCAGTTCAGTTAAATTTCTGCAAAGCTATTGAGTGTCATTCACGTAGCAAATCTGTATTATCTGAGTGCCATGTTGACCTCCCTCCCATGGTTACAAATGTTGTGCGGCTGCCTCCTTCATCTGATTGTATTAATATACGGAAATCTTAACGCCCACACCTGTGGGCGTTAACCATCTCGACCACATGCATCCATCACCATCCAGTACTATATGCACGAATCTTGGCACAATCTGGCCGATTTTTTGTGTCATGTAGGACAAGGCGCGTGTGTGGTGTGTGAGAGAGGTCGTTCACACATCTGTTTTACCATACGGAGGGGCCGGTGTGTGGGCGTTTAGCAGTTCGGTCACACACCAGTTTTCAACTTAATATAAATGTGGACGTCAACTTTATCATTACTCTCGGGTCAGCTAGTATCGCGGTAGTAGCTAGGAACTCCGATGGCGAGGTCATTGCATTTTTTTGAGATGTAATTCCTATTTGCTCCAGTTCGGAGCTTTGTGCTTACCTAGCAGGCCTCTACATCGGTGACACTCTTCACCGACCTATTATTTTGGAGACGCCTTTGTATACTCCTTTCCTTGCAAATGATTGCGTGGACAGATCTGCATTCAGCCGTGCATAGATCTAAAAAAAAAAAGAAACGCTGGGGTTGACAAAGCTTTTCCAAACCTTCGAGTTGATCAAGATCAAAAGGCAAGCGAGCTTTATGGCACATGAGATCACCAAGTTTAGTTTCAATAGTCGTTCCAATGGTTCTCTAGTGAGTAGCGTTCCACCCTTCGTATGATAAACCGTTGTAAGAATATTTTAATAATTTTCAATCAATTAATTCACGGGTCATGCTGATCAATATACGTATGAGAAGAAAAATATGAAATGTTATATGATGAAGCTGGCGAGATGAAACTCCCTTTCTACACCCGAGCTCAAATGAGCTTGGGATAAACAGTAACTCAAAAAACATATAATTCTTTTTTCAAATACTCCGAAAAAAATTAGTGGCAAATTTTCACAAATGTTCTAAGAGCTTGTAAAATTTTATCATGAAATCGCATTTGTGAAAGTCATGACAAAAAAACAGTGCTCCAAAATGCTTTCGAAAGTAGCAGTTTCGGAGTATTGATTTTTTTTTGCCATGATTTTCACAAATGTGATTTCATGATGACACTTTGCATGGACGTCGTCAGGAACATCGAGAAGGTGGGCTCCCGCAGTGGCACATGCTCCAAGCCCGTCGTCATCGCCGACTGCGGCCAGCTCTAGGCCTGCGCCCTCCCCTAGCCATTCATCGTCCTTCCATGTCACCCTGTGTTGATCTAAAATAAGTTGGCATGGGTCGTGTTGTGTCTTCCCTTTGTCCGTCCGATGAGATCTCCATGGATCGTTGGTTTAGGAGGGTTTTAGGTGAACTCTTTAGGCTGCTGGATCTGTGTTCGACGGTCATGGTTATCTTCAAAGCCACAAAGCTTCATAATTCTTTTTTAATTTTTATTTCGATTGCTATTTTGTTTTACCACCACCAAGCCTTCTCAGATATGCGTGTCAATTTGCGGTGTTGAGGAGAAAAATACGTTTTATGCTCCTAGTGTGTTCCACAAAAACTCACGCGTTGCGTTTGATGATGAGGTATATATGGGATCTCCACGGAGATGAATTTTTTTGCCAACTCCAACCTGTTGTGGTTGTTAATTGTTCTTGACATCATAAGCTGTGCGATGCGCTCACAGTTCCTGTTTATTTTTTGGAGCATGACTTTTGAGAAATGACGTGATTTTTTGGAGAGGGAAGGGAGACCGTCCTCAGTTCAGTTAAATTTCTGCAAAGCTATTGAGTGTCATTCTCGTAGCAAATCTGTATTATCTGAGTGCCATGTTGACCTCCCTCCCACGGTTACAAATGTTGTGCGGCTGCCTCCTTCAGCTGACTGTATTAATATAAATGTGGACGTCAACTTTATCATTACTCTCGGGTCAGCTAGTATCGCGGTCGTAGCTAGGAACTCGGATGGCGAGGTCATTGCGTTTTTTTGAGATGTAATTCCTATTTGCTCTAGTTCGGAGCTTTGTGTTGGGGAACGTTGCAGAAAATTAAAATTTTCCTACGGTTTCACCAAGATCCATCTATGAGTTCATCTAGCAACGAGTCATGGGAGAGTGATTGCATTTACATACCACTTGTAGATCACGCGGAAGCGTTCAAAAGAACGGGGTTGAAGTAGTCGTTCTCGTCGTGATCCTATCACCAGAGATCCTAGCGCCGAACGGACGGCACCTCCGCGTTCAACACACGTACGGTCAGCGTAACGTCTCCTCCGTCTTGATCCAGCAAGGGGGAAGGAGAGGTTGATGATGATGGCTCCAGCAGCAGCACAACGGCGTGGTGGTGGTGGAACAGCAGCACTCCGGCAGGGCTTCGCCAAGCACGTGACGGAGGAGGAAGAGGTTTAGCAGGGGGAGGGGGCGCCAGAACTTCAGGGGTGCGGCTGCCCCTCTCCCCCTCCCTTTATATAGGCCCCCAGGGGGGGGCGCCGGCCCTGGGAGATTCAATCTCCCAAGGGAGCGGCGGCCAAGGGGGGAGGAGTGCCCCCCAAGGCATGTGGTGAGCCCCCCCTAGGGTTTCAACCCTAGGCGCAGGGGGTGGGCCTAGGGGGGCGCACCAGCCCACTATGGGCTGGTTCCCCTCCCACTTCAGCCCATGGGGCCCTCCGGGATGGGTGGCCCCACCCGGTGGACACCCGGGACCCTTCCGGTGGTCCCTGTACAATACCGGGTGACCCCGAAACTTTCCCGATGACCGAAATACCACTTCCTATATATAATTCTTTACCTCCGGACCATTCCGAAACTCCTCGTGACGTCCGGGATCTCATCCGGGACTCCGAACAACATTCGGTATACTGCATACTCATATTCATACAACCCTAGCGTCACCGAACCTTAAGTGTGTAGACCCTACGGGTTCAGGAGACATGTAGACATGACCGAGACGGCTCTCGGGCAATAACCAACAGCGGGATCTGGATACCCATGTTGGTTCCCACATGCTCCTCGATGATCTCATCGGATGAACCACGATGTGGAGGATTCGAACAACCCCGTATACAATTCCCTTTGTCAATCGGTACGTTACTTGCCCGAGACTCGATCGTCGGTATCCCAATACCTCGTTCAGTCCCGTTACCAGCAAGTCACTTTACTCGTACCGTAATGCATGATCCCGTGACCAAACACTTGGTCACTTTGAGCTCATTATGATGATGCATTACCGAGTGGGCCCAGAGATACCTCTCCGTCATACGGAGTGACAAATCCCAGTCTCCATCTGTGTCAACCCAACAGACACTTTAAGAGATACCTGTAGTGCACCTTTATAGTCTCCCAGTTACGTTGTGACGTTTGGTACACCCAATGCACTCCTACGGTATCCGGGAGTTACATGATCTCATGGTCTAAGGAAGAGATACTTGACATTGGAAAAGCTCTAGGAAAACGAACTACACGATCTTGTGCTATGCTTAGGATTGGGTCTTGTCCATCACATTATTCTCCTAGTGATGTGATCCCGTTGTCAATGACATCTAATGTCCATAGTCAGGAAACCATGACTATCTGTTGACCAACGAGCTAGTCAACTAGAGGCTCACTAGGGACATGTTATGGTCTATGTATTCACACGTGTATTACGATTTCCGGATAATACAATTATAGCATGAATAAAAGACAATTATCATGAACAAGGAAATATAATAATAATGCTTTTATTATTGCCTCTAGGGCATATTTCCAACAGTCTCCCATTTGCACTAGAGTCAATAATCTAGTTACATTGTGATGAATCGAACACCCATAGAGTTCTGGTGTTGATCATGTTTTGCTCGCGAGAGAGGTTTAGTCAACGGATCTGCGACATTCAGATCCGTATGTACTTTGCAAATATCTATGTCTCCATCTTGAACATTTTCACGTATGGAGTTGAAACGACGCTTGATGTGCCTGGTCTTCTTGTGAAACCTGGGCTCCTTGGCAAGGGCAATAGCTCCAGTGTTGTCACAGAAGAGTTTGATCGGCCCCGACGCATTGGGTATGACTCCTAGGTCGGTGATGAACTCCTTCACCCAAATTGCTTCATGCGCTGCCTCCGAGGCTGCCATGTACTCCGCTTCACATGTAGATCCCGCCACGACGCTCTGCTTGCAGCTGCACCAGCTTACTGCTCCACTATTCAACATATACACGTATCCGGTTGTGACTTAGAGTCATCCAGATCTGTGTCGAAGCTAGCGTCGACGTAACCCTTTACGACGAGCTCTTCATCACCTCCATAAACGAGAAACATGTCCTTCGTCCTTTTCAGGTACTTTAGGATATTCTTGACCGCTGTCCAGTGTTCCTTGCTGGGATTACTTTGGTACCTTCCTACCAAACTTACGGCAAGGTTTACATCAGGTCTGGTACACAGCATGGCATACATAATA